ATGAGAGCAGACAAAGTGGTGTAATTAATTGGGAAGAATTCCAGGTAAACGATAACTGATAGTAACAATAAAAAAAGGAAACCGCCTTACCAAAGTCAAAAAACGAGATCTCCCTTCCTCTTCTCCACAGAGGAGAGATCTCCCTATTTAGTTGGCTAAGTATTAAGTACAATTTCGTTCTACACGAACAAAAATCGTACACCAAAGAGTCTCGAAAAGCGTACAAAATGTACCGGTGCTGTTCGAACGATCGTTTCGATCGGATACAAAATGTACCGGTGTTGTGTAAATTTGCGCGCCAATGAAAGCTAGTTAAGATGCTTTCATGATCATGATCGGAAATGGTTATAGCAATATAGACACAGAGATGACTGTATAAGTCTGCAACAGCCGCATATTCGGACGACCATTGACGACTACGCGCGTTCTCGCAGCTTAACAAACTTCTTCCGAGTCCTAACGAGCTTACTCTTGGCAAAAGCCACTCGAGTGTATGGCTTCCTTGGTTACGATGCAATGGCTAACCTACATACCGTCATATTATTGCACCCGATTCCCGCTGCAATGAACGCTACCTGTATGTTCGTGTACCAAGTGTGACAATATATTCTATTCCCTCGCGGTTGTTCACTCGCAGCGTCTTCGGTTCGCCCAATCTTGCACCACTGCTGTACCGCGTTTCGCTTGTTCCCGTCTTCCGATGAAACGAGAATACGCCGATAAATCGAATGCCACGTTTTCACCTTCACGGCCAGTACACGTTCCTGCGACCAATTTGCCTCCCCTTTTCGCGGATACCTTATTTCTAGCTATTGACATATGTATAATTTTGTGTGCTAGACTAGATTAGCCGCGTAGTAATGACGTATGTGAATATGAGTGTATGGAAGTATGTGTGTGTACAGCGTCCCAAAACATAGATGAATGTAACTGTTCCATTAGCAGTGTGGTATAGAAGAAAGAGAGTGTTGAGACGCGTGCAAATGTATATCGACGAAGATCCTGGAAATCGTTTATTAAATACATCTAAAACTATTTTAATATAAATTCCAAGTGTAATCTTAGTGTTCCTTTACTTTTATTTCTGCGATTAAGATCCACAATTCTCAACACTAGCTTCAGATGTAAAGCAATTCTCGTTGAGGTTAAATAAATCTACAACTATTTTAATATAAATTCTAAGTGTAATTTTAGAGATCTAAAACTATTTTAATATAAATTCCAAGTGTAATCTTAGTGTTCCTTTACTTTTATTTCGGCGATTAGGATCCACAATTCTCAACACTAGCTTCGGATGTAAAGCAATTCTCGTTGAAATTAAATAAATCTACAACTATTTTAATATAAATTCCAAGTGTAATCTTAGTGTTCCTTTACTTTTATTTCTGCGATTAAGATCCACAATTCTCAACACTAGCTTCAGATGTAAAGCAATTCTCGTTGAGGTTAAATAAATCTACAACTATTTTAATATAAATTCTAAGTGTAATTTTAGAGTTCCTTTACTTTTATTTCGGCGATTAAGATCCACAATTCTCAACACTGGCTTCAGATGTAAAGCAATTCTCGTTGCGATATCGTCGGTAATTAGCATCGTGTAACTTGACGCAGTAAAAAATCAGCGTTTTGTTGCTCCACTATTTCTTTCCTCGCAGTCTGCGAAGAGATGCTTTTTCATAGAATTATGGAAACATCTGCAGAACTGTCGCTAGAGCGAAAGAAAATTAGATAGTTCTGCGTAACTTGTGTATAACGTAGCTAATATTTACGACTGTTAGTTGGATGTAATGCTCGCAGGATCAACGCAAATTGCTGCTACATGCAACTATTTGCCTGGAAATATTGGAGAAATCTACGAGAGCAAGGTGTGCGTGGCAACTGTTAAAAGCGACAAAGTCAGGTATCGTAAAAAGTTAGTCTCGTAACCACAACTTTCCAAAAGTACTTTAAAAAAGCTGTTTACTTGAAACTTGTCCAACATTTGAAAAAACATCGAATCGGCGTTACGACGAAAAGTCCGTGCTACTTGACTTTCATCCAGCCATTCTCGGTTTCCTCTAAACTCTACGCTCCATCCAAAAAGAAACTCTTAAACAAAGCAATAAGAAACTGCTAAAATTCGATCTGTTCTAGATAACTATAGTCCGATTATCCGTGAGTATATTTTCATAATATACATATACACAATTGGAGCAATGCATCCGAAAGCACGAAGCACACGATCGCATGCCGTAGATTTGTACGCGGCACGGCCGTCCAATTTCATCCGAACCGAGCTAGAGTCAGCCAAGTACGTATGTATCCCGGTCGTTCCCGACGTAATTGAATACTCAATAGGATTTACCAAAGCGGACCAACGCGGTGGCCGCGTCGATCGACACGACACACGCCAATATTTGATCCGTGTCAAAAGCTTCGACTCGAAGCTTTCGAGGCAGATTCACCCGCGGATTTCGCAGGGTCGTTAAACTCGCCGACCACCTGCCCTCCCTTCCCCACCTGTCCCACTATTGTTCTATCCCCTTACGTTTCTGCCTCTTTCCACTTCATTGTCTTCGACTTGAATTTTCGTTTTCAATTTCCTTGTCTCTTTCTATTAACCGATCGCTCGTGTCGCACGCGTAACGTCTCTGCTTTCATCGGATCACCCGATATGCCAATTATTGCGGCATTTCAAACGTATCTGCGCCGTTATATGTCGCTGTGCGCGGTAAAAGTACCTGGATAAATTTATTTCAGAAAATAAGTTTAGTTACGTCTGTTGCAGTTTCCACGAGAAAGAATATCATTTCGAGATAGATTGCTTTCCAGTTGTGTGTTTCGGCAATCGTTAGTTTGCTTTGCACTTGCTAGCAATCCTACGCAGATCTTTCCAATCGCTTCTCCATCCTCTATTTAAATTAACCGTTCAAAGCAATTAGAGTTTTAGCCAGAGCGCTAGTCAATCGTCTAAAAGCATGAAAATACAGCGATTAAGCGAATTGGATTATTCGTTTGGAACGCGTGGATTAAGCACACAAACGAGAGGTATTTGTCTCGTAGCTGGTTACTTCTCGGTAACGTAATCTTCTAGCTGCTCCAACCAACTGTATAATACTACCTCTTCCAACAACTATAGAAACGAACAAGTTCTACCACCTACAGAACGTAAACTACCGTGAAATAAATACACAGAGGCCAGATGGAAATATCGTTTAACTATTAACTTTTCACCGCCGCTTTGTACTTGCCAGCGATGGCAAACGTGTTCAAACATCCGACAGCGTCTAATGTATTTTGATTTTTTCCCACGCTTCCCCGATACTTTCTTATCCTTTTCCATCGACATCCGCTCGACGTTTATCCTGGTCTCTAGCCGGATGAAGCGTTATCGGCGTGTTGCGCTTAATACCGGCATGGCACTTGCACAACTGAACGGAACGGCGTGGCGTGGCGTGGCGTGGTGCGAGACCGCCAAATCCACAGGTGCGGCGAAAGCGTGCTCATGTCGCGCGGAAATGCCTTTGAATCGACTGCGACGCAACACAGCCAACAACAACAGCCGACAACGACAACGACAACGACGACGACGATGACGGCGACAACGCGCGACGTATCTCTACATGTTCTGTATACAATTCCTTTCCTCTTACCCCGCCTAGTCCCTTTGCAGACGTTCTGCTTCGCCCTTCCTCTGACCCTCGTTCTCTTTCGACGATGCTCTTCCAGGTAAAGGATTCTCGATTCACACGGCGATAACCTTCGACGCGTTCACCTACCGATCGGTTGCACTCGACCGGTAAACGTGTGATTTCTAGCGGGCTGGTGCTCGCCGTCACCGATGTCTTTATCTCGCGCGAAGGAAATGAAATTTCTCGTGTGAAAAGATCCGCGTGAAAGAAGCGCCGGAATCGGGCGAGATGCGAGAGAAGTAACTTTTTCTTATCGGCGAATTGCGGCGGTACGGTGCGTTATTGTTCTCGGTAAGCTAGCGCGTGCAAACAACCGTGTCGAGAGACTACGACTGGAACGTGGACAAAAAAGAGGGATAAATTAACTTCTGAAGGAAGGAAGGCGATCCAACGAAAAGGAGAACGAGACGATTTCATTGCCATCGATTCATCGGTCATCGTAATGCCGCTGTTAGTTTCTTCCGTAGTTCTTACGCGACAAAGATTAGATTTCGGCGGATGAAAGACGGCCGCGAACCAGGAACAAAAGAGAACGAGGAGGACGAGTCGAAGCAAGCTTTTCCATCGAATTCACCGTGAAACGTGCCTTATTGTTCTGGATAATCTGTCGCGCGTTATAGTAATTAAGTGGAACGAATTCAACGGGAATCTCTTGGGATAACGGAACGCGGCCGTTAATCCACGGAATTAATTTCGCTGCGTTTCCGCGGCGTGAAACGACGTTTTCGGATCCAGCCGAAAGAACATCTTTTAGTTGAACTGCATTTACTCGATCGACAAATGATAAGAAACTCGGCCAAAGAAAAGGGTACGGAAGAAGAAGAAGAAGAAGAAGAAGAAGAAGGGGAAAGCAGAAAAAGAAAGCGAATGATTGCAGACGATCGTTTCTACAGAGAGTAAATTGCGACGCGCGATTATTTCCAGCATCGCAGTTAATGACGTACAATGAATGCGCGACGCGCGTTTGCGTAAAATGCATGGAAGATCCATTTGGCTATAGCTCTTTGATTTAATTTTAATTTCATATCCATACATATATCCTAAAATGTCGGGCGGGATCAATTTAATAATTCGATGCAGGTATAAAATAGCGTGGTGAGTGTGTGGCTTCGTTTCATTAAATTTTCGCACGCAAAGGCGAACGACGAACCGAATTTAGCGATACATTACACGTCAAACGACGTTATACGGTAAAAATGCGTCTGGCTAAATAGCCATTGTTCCATACTTTTTTTCAAAGCGCTTAAACACCGGTATAAGACGAACAATCGCTTTTTATATAAAATAACACGATTTTTGTTACACGCTTATGCAGGCAAAGTTACTCACGATGTTTGACATGCAGCCTAGGAACAGGATCTTGCGGCCAAGCCACGTTCTGCGCAACTAAGCTGATCAGTGCCAAAATTCGCAGGGATGTGCTCATTTTGGTAGCGAGTGGCCCTGCAGGGTATCCTATGAGTCAACGGTAACTTTCAATCCTCGTCATCGCCGCTCCGATCGTCATTCCTGAAAAAATACAAACAAACCATTTTAAGAAAGGAACAAGCCCAACGAAACAAATTTGAATTTGAGATATGGAAATCCTTAAAATCGAACCAATAACGGCGTTAACGAAAATAGCAATTGCAAAGACATCAGACCGCGACACTAACGCGTGCGTTTCAACACTAGAACTATCACGCCAGTCGAATTGACTGGTCTTACAAATTTATTTTCAAATTCCTACTTCGTGTTATATTTTTTCCCGCAATGATGTAACGAGTATGTAATATAATGAATTTTATTTTGTTTTTTATGTATTCAAGCTGAAAATAATTTTGTATCAAGGCTACTTATAAAATTTTATTTATTTATTTAAAGATGTTTATTAAACCCAAGATACAATTTTAAATACATTTTGGTATTCATAATAAACGGTGAATTTTTGTAATGATGTTTTAGACAAAAGTACCGATACGCAACGATACGACGTAGCCATGCTATAATAAGGCTACTTATACAAATACCAGTGAAAATGACTGGTACTTGCCAAAGTGTAAAAGGATCCAGCAATCTGTTTATCGAATCCCAATTAATCAGTTTCCTCGTTTTGTACAACTTCGCACACGTTTTTCAAACTTTGACTGCGTATCATTCGATATGATGATATCAGTTATCAGGAAAATTCCGGATCAATAGCTAGAAATACCACAGCAGTCAAAATGACTGGTTCTACAATTTTATAAATGTGCCAACCCTCGATGGATTAATAATACCAACAATGTACTACATAACATGGAATTGCTTCTTTAAGAAACTAATAAATCAGTGAATATAAAAATATTCTACTGTTACGTGTTTTTTAAAAGACCAGTCATTTTGGCTGTTTTTGGTAGAAATAGCTTCGTGTCAACTATCCGTAGTTCTAGTGTTAATTCTCTGCGATTTAATGAAAGAAGAGGTAAGAAACGGGTATTCGTCAAGGTAGGAAATGGTTAGGTACAGCGTTGCAAAAGTTGCAAAGAATTTTCATTCTTTCGCGATATTTGAACGACCGAGAACATCTTGTTTGTCACCGTCGTAAGAATAAGTTTTGCGCACGATCGCGTTAAAAATGCCAGTTCTTAACAAACGCTGGCTGCGCTGGATGAAACGATGTTACAAAAAGAAACACCGGTACATATCATTGTTCTTTTTCGTGAACAAATTATACGCGCCATTTCTTACACAGCTGAGCCAACGATAGCAACCGAGACGGTGCAATCGAGGAAGGAAGAGAAAGGCAGGGAAAGGAATGGAAAGGAAGGGAAAGGAAGGGGAAGGAAGGAGAATGGAGAGGAGAAGGAAGGCAGCAGGCAAGCTAAAAGGCTAACGAAGGAACGGTAGAAGACCGCTGCCGACTCGAACGAGCCCGGCAACGACGATGAAGAAGGCGACGATGGTATGCATTATGCAGAGAGGTCGCCAGCTCAAGCTTCTATTTGTCCCCCAGCTTTCGCAGCAGCCAGTGCTGCTCTGCTACGACTTCGAATACATTCGCGATTAGGTGGCAAATCGGATGTACACCTATGCATACGTATGTAGGTACTTATACCTACAAGGTTTTCGTTGAATCGTGCCGCGTATCTAACAACGCGCCGCCAACCATTGTACCAGCCATTTCGTATATCGCGCATAAAATGTACGGCTTAATCTCGTTTCCATTCTTCGACTGTGCAAAATCAACCCTACCACTCATTTGTCGTATCTGAATTTGCGCTTACTATACAAAATTTCCGCTCAAGGATTCCACATCGATCACACTTGTCACGGTTCTATATTCTCCCTTTTATAACTCTCTCGTGACGAATGCTATCGGTATAACGAGACTTGTTCAGGCGAATCAAAAATCGTACAATGTAAAATCTGATATCGAATTTAACTTGTCGGGCGGGTGCGTGTCGAACCGCGTCAACCCTGAAACAAGGACGATCGTTTTCGACAAGAATCGCTCGTCGACGATGCGCCACTTCTCGTCCGCGCGACCGTAGATTTCGCAAAACGGTGGCGGAGGATCGGTCGAACAGGAGGGAGAAGTGCAGCGCAACGCGAACAAAATGTGACGGACAAAGGTGCGCTATACGCATCTGAAACAGCGAGTCACCGTTAGGCGTGGCTCGGCCTACTTTCCAGATTCGAGAGACACGAGACGAGCCGTGGATCAAGACTTACTTCCCTCCAGCATCGTGGACACCACCAACCAGCGTCGGCTTCGTTTCCCCGCGCGATTATGGTAGCGCCACGCTGTCCCGACTTTCTCTTCTCTTACGTCGGCCGAGTCACGAATCACGAGCCATCGGCATCGATACGATCGTCGCGATCCGATCGGAAACCCTAAGCGAGATAGGAAAGAATCCGATTTAATTTTCCTCATCGGTGTCGGATCGGTGTCACGTTGGAAAAATCCAGTGTTCAACGGATTCCAAAGCCTTAAAGTAAAGAGGGCAGATTTCTCGTGGTAGGCAAACGCGTACACGGTGAACGAGCGCGGTCGGAGCAAAGTACATAATCGAAGGTGCGGAACGTGAGTCGCTAGAATCGGAAGAAAATTAAGGCACGGTGACTCGTGCGTCTCTTTCTCCTTGCGTTTCCTTTCTCTTTTTCTCTCGGTTCGATCATTTTCTTTCAAATTCACTTACGGCCACGTGTATCACATGGGTGGAAGAAATCACGTAGAGTCACCGGAGAAGGTTAACTTTGACTGGTTACGTTAGCCGAGTGATAGCGTTCATCGAATTTCGATACAAGTCCGTGAAAAAATATCAGGTCGTTGAACCGTGAGAATATAGGGCAAATTCTGTTCTTCATATAAATCGGCTAAACGTAGGGAAAGCGTAAAACGAAAAAAGAAAACAAAAGACACCTTTTATTCATGCCGTTTAAACGCAGCTATTCTGTAAAGAGGAAAAAGAACAATAACAGGCGAATCCTTGTATAAAGGGCCATAGAATCGCGATAACAATGAAAACGCTGCTGCAGGCGCAATCCCACAACGTGTTTCCAAATGGCGGTCGAACGAAACGTGATTTTAACGACATGATCGGTTCTTTCGGTACATTAACCTTATCTACCATCAATTTATAGTATTTATACGCTTTCGGGCCAAAAACAGGCCAAGAAACGCAACGAGCAAACGACCATGGGAAAACGCGAGAAAATCGAGAGCGAGATTACAGAGGAAATAGAGGTTTGACGAAACGCTTCGGCGGGAAACAACGACCAAGCGAAAGAGACGAAACGAGCCAGGGAAAATTCACGGGCAACGACAATCACCTTCATCAACTATGCTGTATATTATTGTTGTTAAAATACAGAGAAATGTCCATTGTCTTTTCACAGATACAGTTTTCACAAATTATGTCCTAAATTAAGTACGACGTCGAAATAATACTTTGGAACGATGTTCAGAACAACTAGGTCAATCCCAAACTACTTTTAAATCTTCGATTTTCACTTTCTCTAGGTTGTTTCTATAATCTCTCGAGATGAGTCCTTATTTTTTCTTTTTTTCTTCTCGCGGTTCAACGAACCGACGATCGTAGCAAAATCGCATCTTGCTCGCGATTTCTCCATGGTTTTCGTGATCGTTTGTTTGTTTGTTTGTTTCTCTCGTAGCGACGAGTCTTTCAAACAACGATACTACTTCTACGTACTTACGAAAAAGCGCGTGTATCCTTTTAACCGCGCCCTTTCTCCTCTTCCTTCACTCTGCACTGTCACAATACGGTCTTTTCGAAACTTTTCTATTTCTAGCGACGTGTTTACGCCGTCGTGTGGCGTCCTGTTCGACATCCCGTCTTAGTATCGCGATATTTATCTGATCGCTAAATCGGTAAGGTGCGATCGCCATGCAGCGACGCGATCCATCTGTGTTCTCACTTTTACCTAGTCCAGCGAACAATACTATTGCACTGCTGCGCTGTTGCTGGTCCATGAATTCACAGACATATACTATAATACGTTACGCTCGATTTTTCACTGCATATCAATACCCATAAGCATTACCTGTCGATAAACGTTGCCAACTTTTCTCTCGCCGAGCACCAACGTTTTGCATCTTTTTATCGGCTCTTACCAGGATATACAGTATGTTAAAATGAGTTACGTCGCGATCTTGCGATTCTGCGGTTTGTTAGACGTCGTGGCTTCAATTTTTTTGTTACTCGTGACAAACCCGCAGCCAAAGTACCAATGGTAAGCGGCCTCTGATCGAAAACAATACACGTTATAATCGAGGCTTTCTATGTAACTGGCGAAACCTCGAGGCTTCACCAGGACTCTCCTTCTCTCTTAACACTTTGACTGCTACGTTGGTCATGTATGACGAACTTCTTACAATTGTAAAAATTGAATGAAAACTGAGATTCGCAAGGTCTCTAAATTCTTTGCGAATACCAACACTCTCAGAGTATTCTATCGCCAGCTGATTAGATTTATTGTGGAATGTGGAAGTATTCTCTGGCCTTCGTATGGTAATTCGTATATCAACGACATTCAGATCGCGATCCTTCCATTGTTATCTCTTCACGTACTTGCAGATCGCTGAGAAACGACTCTCTTCTACGTACAAATACAGCACCATCTTATGGTTATATAGCTCTGTATACTACAACTGACACGTTGGTCATTGGTGATCGGAGCGCTTGAACTTCTTACAATTGTAAACATTGAATGAAAACTGAGAGTTAGGGCATTTTGAATATAACCGATAAATAGAAGATACTTTGAAATAAAAAGTGCCCCATTGAACAATTAAACAATTTTATTAGAACATCGATAAAAAAAGAGAGAACAAATCTTGCATCTAACGGTGCACCGTGTTAAAACACTTTAAACATAAATGTGGCTCATCGATACAATCTGCACAATAGGTGATCACCTTTTTGGTCCGATTCTTAGCAATTTTTGATCCTAACTGTTTAACATTTTTTTTATGACACTCTCTGCAAAATTTTCCTGCCAGATACGCTTGCCCTTCTTTCTTCTGC